GGGAGGAACACCTGTGGGTAATCCTGGTGGCACCCGATCGCAGGAACGCAGCGTGGTTTCCCAGTCTGCAGCAGCTGGTGTCAGGTCGACCGTGGAAGCTGCCATAGAGGATGCTCTCTCCCAGGCTGGGGGAGCGATCAGGAGCCACCCAGGAATAGGCCACCATCTCTGGGTCTGGCAGCTGAACGGGAGCACCTAGAGAGGCTCGGTCTCCCTCAGGTGTGGTGTGCACCATTCAAGGTGCATGAGCCGCTTCTACCACAGTATTATATGCTTCGAAGTGGTCAGCCTTTCAACGCTAGTGCGTGGGAGAGAGGGTGGAGCCCATTTCATGTCCTTTAGGGCGCGTGCTGTCATTTCTCCAGCAGCTGATGGACAAACTTAGCTTTCAGCACCATTAAAACATGCTGCAGCTCTTTCCTCCTGCCATGAGGGGTTTTGGTGACAGAACGATCTTCAACCACCCGCTAATGAAGTGGTTTCTGAGAGGTGTGCTCAGAAGCAGACAGGTGTCACGCCCACTTGCTCTCCCTCCTCCTCTAACCCTCCTCATAAATCTGAGACAGAAGCTGCTTCTCATCTTCTCTGCCCCGTGCGCGCTCTCTTGTTATGTGGTGCATATATCTGCACTGCGTCGCTCTCAGCGTCTGTTCATGCATTACAGAGATAACTCAGTGGGGCGTCCTCTGTCCGCCCAGCGTCTTTCTCACTGGTTGTGTGAGGCCATCTCACAGGCTTTCATTTCTTCTGGATTGGATCCTCCAGAGAATCTGAGAGCTCACTCCACCAAAGGGATTTCATCCTCCACAGCTCTGCGTGGAGGAATGTCTGTGGAGTACATTTGCACGGCAGCTCCCTGATCATCTCCATACTCATTTATCCATTTTACCTATGTGATGTTTCCACGTTCTCTATGACCCATTCTGTCCTCAGAGTTCTGACAGAATAATTATTTTTGTTACATTTACTCACAAAGCATTTGAGAACAACATGGTTGTCCAAAGTGCTGTATAATAAGTTACCTGTTCTGTTCATCGTTACACTGTTACACTTCATAACGTTCGTTGTTCCTGTTCACAGCAGCAGGTCTGTTTGTCTCAACCTTTTGATCAGATATTATTCTCCTCTCTGGTCTTCTGCTGTATGGGAGGCCGGGAGTTCGTAATTACCCACTCTAGGCTGAGACTGTTTTTGTTATATGCGAGCAGATGTTTTATGGTGGTGGTCTGAATGGACCCAGTGATGAATAGACTACATCCTGCTTCGCAGTTAACCCACTAGCGATAGCCTTAAAGGGCAAAGCCTGTACGAAATAGAACATTGGTTACATATTGTAACCCCAGATTCTATGAGTATAGACGTAGCCCTTTAAGCTGTGGGCCTCACTGGTTCCTGAATAGCTGAAGAAAAAGGCTGTTAGGGAGCCATTTGTCCGGTCTGACCGCTTTTTATACAGACCGAGGTGGGGCCCACCCAGTAGATGGGTGTGGACTAAACTTTCTTCAATGCTGCGCTGCGCGCAAGGGATAAACCCACTAGTGATAGCCTTAAAGGGTTACACCTATACTCACAGAATCTGGGGTTACAATATGTAACCAACGTTTTGAGTTGCACTTAAACGGGTTTTCCCTTTGCTGTGGAGCATAGCACGAAATTAATAAATACCTAAATTTCCAAGTTGCATTGAGTTAACAGAATTATTATACGGATAACATGTATTTATTAGCATAATAAATTATATTTTTGTATTTATTTCTATTTGCCTTCCAGCGTTGTCCGCATGTGCAAAATTTCCTTATGTAAACAATAACATGCAGGTGGTCTATATTTGTCTATCTGATTATGATTAAGTCAGTGCCTCACCAGCGTTGCACCTCACCCCCCTCACTGTAATCAAATATAGAGAAACTCTACAAGAAAACCTCATTCAAAGTACTCTGGAATTCAGTTTAAGTTGGCTACTCATTTTACAGCAAAACAATGAGCAGCATTTTACTAAGCAGAGAAAACAAACACTCTAATAAGTAAAATAAGAGAAGAAGTAGCTGCAGGAGCAGTCTACAAATGTCTGAGACATTTGGGTGCTCAGACATCAAATACACACTATATTTAGAAATACATAAACACTGTCTACTGATTTTGATTGTGGATTATTCAGAGAAGAATGGGTAAAAATACCCAAAAATGTGCCAAAAATATTGACTCTTGTTATTCCTGCCAAAGTTTATAGAGCAAAAATGTGAAGTTACTTATGAACATGTGATTCATTGTACTATTTATTTTTAGTACAGTTGGGAAAAAAATTCAACAAATTTGTTCTTTATGTCAATATGGGTTTCTCTGTTTTCTGAAATAAAATAAAAAAGGTTTTGAAAAGGGCTGTAACATAACCAAATGTGGAAAAAGTTAGCTGGGCCAATGCTTTCCTATGCAGTTCTGCATAGGACGATTTTCTCATTAAGCTCGATGTCTCCGGCTGAATTTCAACTGAGCCAATCAGTGAGCAGCAGGAGTTGTAAATGATTCTGCACTGTTTTATAATTATAATCTGATTATATAGGGTTGTAATTGGCACTGGGAATAAATTAAGGGAATGAGGTAATTTAGTCCATGTGGGCCTTGCTTCCAAAAATTAAACAACTAAACTCAAAGCAAGAGGAATGGATAAGATATTTTATTGCTGACAAAGCGAGCTGTTACTTATGGGGTTGTTTACAGGCATGCAATTTCTGGTAAGCTTTATGGTAATACTTTATATGACGGGGTGTGAATAAGACTGGCATGACACTGACATAACACCTGTTAGGAACATAAAGAAGTCTATGAATGTGTATGACTGTTGTCATGAAGTGTCATTCGGTAAATAATGACACTTTTAATGCAAAGTTGCTCTAGAAGTTGCATTAAAAGTCCATTAAAAATGCCAATGTTGTATTATTTACAAAATCGTGCAGTTGGCATTTTTAATGAACTTTTAAAGCAACTTTTAGAGCAACTTTGCATTAAAAGTGTCATTATTTACCGAATGACACTTCATGACAACAGTCATAAACATTCATAAAGACTTCTTCATGTTCATGACAGATGTTATGTCATGTTTATGACAGTGTTATGTCAGTCTTATGCACACCCCTTCAAATAAAGTGTTACCAGCTTTATTAAGATGGTGCATTACAACAAGGCCAAAAGTAGTGATTGAGTAAAATCAGATTGTTTAAAACTTCAACAGAGTCCATGCCTTCAGCAAGCAATCATTTCTCATAGCCAAGGGTCCAGACCCTCTGTAAGAAGAGTAGGACAGGGGGCTGATTTTTACCAAGCTAGGAATAAGTGAAGCACTAGGAATATATTACGAATGTACAGTGGCTTGCAATTTTATTCATACGCCTTGCATTCATATTTTGTCACATTACAACCACAGATTTATATATTTTATTAAAATTTTATGTGAAAGGTCAACACAACGTGGTATACAAATTTGAAGTAGAGAGAAAATTAGACATGTTTCAAAACATTTTTTACAAATAAAAACTGAAAATGCAGTGTGCAAAACTATTCAGTCCCCTTTTTTCTGAGTGGAAACAATTCCTTTCAGAAGTTGCCTGATGACTGCTAATAACTAAAAACATAAGATTTTGTCATTGTTTCAGGAAAATATCAAAATTGCAGTGGTAATATCAATGATAAATAAAATAATAAAGCATATAAATATCTGTCGCTAAAGTCTCAATCTTAGTCAATGCTCAGTCCAGCCCTTTTAAGTTTTCGGAGAAGAAGAGTCTTTGTTGGGCATTCCTTGCCAGAAAATATATGTTCAGCAACCAGGTCAGGTCTGAGATGATGTGGATGCCCAGGAATTTTATGTTGTCCACACACTCCACCACCTTCCCTTAAATAGTAAGGTTAGGTCCTCCTGGACTTCCTGTAATCCAATATGACCTCCTTGGTCTTGCAGGTGTTGAGCATCAAGTTGTTCAGTGAACACTACTGAAACAGGTGCTGGATTTCCTCTGTACAGGGTCTCATCATTATTATCAGACTCACTACAGTGGTGATATCTGCAAACTCTAAAACCCTGTTAGAAGTGTGAATAGCTACACATTCATGGGTGAACAGAGCAAAAAGAACCAGACTAAGCACACAGCCCTGTGGTGTGCCTGTATTGACTGGGATGGATGATGTTCGGTCCCCTAGTCTCACCATCGGAGGCCAGTTGGTGAGAAAGTCACTGATCCAAAGACACATTGATGTTGAAAGTCCCAGGTCATGGAGCTTCACTATCAGTTTCTCTTGGCTGAATCATTGACTTTAGTTAAATGCTGAACTAAAGTCAATGAATAGCATTCTAACATAAGTATCAGGATGCAGAAGGTGTTTCAGGGCTGTGTGCTGTGTAACTTGTCCAGTCCTGCAGCTTTGTTGGGGTTAATCCTCTTCAGAGAAGAAGTCCCCTGGTTGAGCTGGAGGATTAGGGGCTGATGTTGGTCCTCTGAATGGATGTGGGCATTGCTTCTTCTGCTGCTTGTGGTGTCAAATCTAGAGAAAAAAACTGTTCAACATATCAGGAAGAGAGGGCTCCCCTGGTGCTCTTGCAGCCTGCCCAAGTCCTGAGTCCTCTCCTCTCCACATATTCTGCTGGCCATTATTGAATTGTTCCTTAATGCGTTGACTGAATTTGACCTCAGTTGCAAAAAACTTTAGATTTTGAAATTTTCCACTCGCGTGCTTTTATTTTGGACAGAGTTTCCTGCAGCCTGATGACAGCGGGAGAAAGTGAGCTCTCCCCTAAGAAGTTCGGTGCACATAAAGCTGCAATGCCCTGCCCCAGTGAATTATATAGCAGGCTGCCCCAGTCATTGTTGACTCATGGTTGCATAAAGCTTTACAAGACTGATTTTAGTGACATTGTGGGTGTAAAATATTGAATAAAATGTTGTGCTACATGACTGGCTTCATTTACATTTAAACTTTATGACATACAAAATTACAAGAGGATCGTCCTTATTGTCTCCAAGTGTATTCTGGGTAAAACTTGTCACCAGGCGTCCACCAACGTCATCATCAGTCTCTTGGCAACAGATGACAAACTAGCTAGAACAATTTGCGGACCAAGTTAACAGGCGTGGAGCTCCATGGAGCGGCAAAGTGAGAAGGACGGAAAGAAGAGAGCAAGGAAAAGTCAAAAACTGGACGCATATTTTGTTCGTCGTCTTGGAGATGAAGCGGAGTTTTTGGTTGGCAGCGATTCAGGTCCGCCAAAACTGCCAGCCCAGCCAGGGAGCCAGGATAGTTACAGGTAGCAACTCTACTGTTATTCACAAAGTGTGAGTTAACTGTAGACTGATTATAAAATGTATCAGCCCAGCCGTCGAGCTTTACATCTTTTTCTTTCTGGAAGACTGAGTTATAGCCGCGGTTTGAGCCGAACAGTTCGGGTTAAGCGCGTTTTTGAGCCAAGACAGCGGTGTGGCGTTTATAGTTAAGGTTTACATTGGAGCCGCCTGGGAGAGCGGCGCGCGTCATCAGCACCGAGTTGCAAAGATCCAGAGGTGCACGAGGCGCTGCGACACGCTGCGCATGCGGCGGGGTCGGCGCGTGCCGCTGCGTGTCCGCTTCAACGCGCACAACGAACTGAGCTCCGTGCTCATGATAAATTAAAACAAATTCAATAATTTCCATTGGCATGATTTATCGTTTCTCTTTTTATTTCTCTCTCTTTCTGCCAAAAACTGTATGATAAAAGCTTTCAGGTTGGTGCTTTGCTCTCAACTAAACCTTTTTTGAAGGAAAATTTTATTTACAAAGACTTCAAAATTCATTTTATTTGTCGTTTTGTTTACTTTTGATATTTGTAATGTCTTCCAGTTGCAGTGTTAAATGTTCATTATAATTTAAAGTTTACTGATCTTTCAGATTGTGTTCCTGCATTATTATTTTCCCATTAACATTATATTACTTAAAAATGGTCTCAAAACAACAATAATATTGTTTATCAAAAATCTAAATTTGTTATTGTGGCAGGCCTACACACATATGACATATAGTGTAGTTAGTTTATTACCAGGGATTGCATAGTTACTTTGAAAGAGTAATTTGATTACTCAATGAAAAATTCATCTATCAGCTAGAAAATGTGCATCTCTTTTCCCTCCATCGTTTACGTTTGTGTTACACATGAAACGTATCTCCCCAAGGAAAAGGAAGAAAGCAACAATATATTTAAAAAAAACAAAACAAATATAGTGTTGAGGAAAATAAATATTATTAGTGTTTAATACAGTTAGATCTTACGACATGTGAAAATAGTGGATTAAGCAAGAGTCCTTTGGATAAAATCTTAGAGGGCCTGCAGAAAAGAATGTCTGTTATCAGGGAGGAACCATGACATAAATTAACTTTGGCACACAGGCCATGTCTCAAATGAGCAGCAGCAAGGAGACATCTCAAGTCATCCTCCCTCAGAGAGACACTAAAACTTAAGGACAAACTAACAACACAATACTAACAATAATTGCAATTTAATTAGTAGAATACCATTTAGTTAAAATTAACATGACTTGAAGTAGCCTAATTTGTAGTTTTATATTAACTAGATGGAGTCTCTAACCTAGGCCAAATGTAATATCAGTTAGTTAAACATAATCAAAACTAGCATAACATTAATTAGAAAATGTTTAGAATGAATGTGTTTATATTGAAAATGCTCAGGTATATTCTATAAGTGTTGTATTCTTAAAATCTGCACTTTGATCTAAGAGGATGCAGAAATTAAACAGGTCTCAGAAGGTAATAAAATTGCTTCGGATGTCCCAACTTAGTAATTTGAAACTAGTTGTAGCCGTACAAGGGAAAGAACACACCTTAATTGCATAACTGCATAAATTAAAACAAAGGAAACACCCTTTTGGAATAAAATTAAGGGCCCCAGAGGAACAAATCAAATTTGCTTTTGCAATTCTCCAAAGACGTCTTTGCTTTTTGTTCATCGTTTTCTTTTCCTCTCTCAGGTAAGTTCATGTGTTGTTTGTGCTTTGAGTTTCTGATGTGTTGTGATGTGCTCTTGTGGTGATAGTATGCATCTGTCTTGAATAAATGCTGATTATTGGGACGCTGTTGCCTCTGTGTGATCTCAGTTTCTTTTGCGCACAGCATTTTCTGAATCTGGGCATGAGAGGATAAAACGAGTCAAAAGTTTTAAAAAGGGTTAATATGCTTTAAAATGTTCCTCTCCTATAATAGTAACACACAGTAACTTGGATACATAACTTGAATCTGATTATTGGATTGTAAATAGTAACACGTTAGATTACGTGTTAAAAGGGGTCAGATTAGAGTAACGCGTTGATGACACCATTGTCTGACATTTTTGCTCAAGCTATGTTTACAGAACTGTCAGGTTTCTAATGTGTCCACCCAGTGATAAACTTGTTCCTACACCCTTGTTTCCTACTGTCTAGAGATGTCCCAGAAGAAAATATTATGCAAAGCTGAAGTAGGTTTCTGATTGCAGCTTCGATTCGGGAAATGGCTAGATTCCACCTATTTTTTTCACCTGCTTCATATCTTTCATCTACTCTAGTTAAAAAACTGCAACACATATAAATTACTTTGTTCTAATAGAATATTTAAAACCAAAATTGTGATTTGTGAAACCTTTATCTGATTTTTAAAATTTCAATAAGGGGTGATTTCATCCCTTTTTATGCATTTGGATCACACTACAACTGCTGTAGCTCTAAAAATACAACACCTAGACCATATGTGTCAAACTCAAGGCCCATGGGGAAAACCGGGCCGCCATAGCTTTTTATGTGGCCCTTAGATCAGTGGTGCCCAAAGAGGGTCCTCAAGGGCCAACATCCTGCATGTTTTAGTTCTCTCCCTGGTTTAACGGATCTGGATCAAATGATGGCTCATTAGAAGGCCAAAGAAGAACATTAACCTGCTGAAAAGGTTGTTATTACCAGCAAGGAGAGAACTAAAACATGCAGGATGCTGGCCCTCGAGGACCCACTTTGGGCACCCCTGCTCTAGATTCTAGACTAAGTGTGCTTAATGTTATCAATCAAATTGATGGAGTTTTTATCTGTTTACTGCCAGATTATATCAATCAGTCCCTCCAGTTTCTTGAGAATTATCATGAAAATTCACGCAAAAATCAACAAATTCTGCTAAGTGCAAATATTTCCAAATTAGTACCACAAACACTTTGATTTTTATTGCAAAAAAATCACAAAAAGAATCATGAAATCCAGGAGGGGCTGAAAATATGCTCAATCATATTTAATTTTAAGAATTCAATGATATTTTAACAGTTAGTGAACAAGTTTTATCAATACATTTTGGCATCACCGGCCCTTTAAGAACATGATCTTGATTTGGCCCAAAACAAAAATGAGTTTGACACCCCTGACCTAGATACTTCAAAGATGGACAAGATTATTTTATCGTACTGGCAAAATAATTTGAGCAAAAGCAAGGATTCCCCCAGTGAATTATAAGCCTGGGGCTTGTCGCGCTTTCAGAGGTACGCGTTGAGCGAGCGGTGAGAATGATTTATCTTTTTGAACAAAGATTTATGTGCGGTGTTTACATCTCAACACACTGCCCAGTGAGAGGCTGTGTCTGCTGATAAAAGTTTATGCATGTGGTCCCGGTTGGCCGGAGAGTTAAGCGGCTCAGCCTGTGGAGGAGCTTTCGCGCTCGCCTCGTAGTCATGCATCACGTTGGTTTTATTTTATTTTATTATCAATTGTATTATTATTATTACTATTCTGGCTACACAATGCATCAAACCATATCAAATGCATTGACCACTTAGTCAGCCAGAGTTGATTTGAGCAGCCACACGTACATCAGAAAAACCTGTCCCATAAAGCTCGAGCAACCAAACAGTTTCTGTGGCGCTTACTAAAAACTCAATCACAAAATTGAAGAGCTACTAAAGCCACATAAATAAAATTTGCCATCTTTCGCTCTGTATCCAGAGGAGAGATGCGTAGTGCAGCAGATTTAGCTGATCATGCAGGGCTGGTCCTAGGTTGTATGAGGCGTTGAGCAGAATTTGATTTAGGGGTCCCTGTTCTTGCTAAGTACATTAGCACCACTAATGTACTTAGCGTGTTGATGACACCATTGTTTGACATTTTTGCTCAAGTTATATTTATGCATTTCCAGGTATGGAAATGCATGGAAACAGTATTTCAACATGGACTTAGTAAATTCTGGGAGAAGGGGGTAGTTTAATTGGCAATGAGTGATAATTGTGGTGATAACAGAGCTCAAACTCAAAGACTAAACTCACAGCATCAGGTTGCAGCTGTGATAACAAAACAATTTTTGTTCACTTTTATAAAGTGAACTTGCCAGCTCCTTAAAATATTACATTTAAATGTTAAACAATTTCAAATCTTTTAATTTATGTAGGCTGAAACCATTAAATCAAACTTAGCAGCATTGGCATTCTCGATAAACAAATGTTACGTTTATATATCTATGGTCTGTGGTAAAATGTTAGCATTTATGGGCCCCTAAAGGCCAGCGGGGCCTTGTGGAGCTGCTGGCTTAATTTGAATTAAAGAGAAGTGCAAATATTAATTTTAATGGTATATTTTTATTTGTTGTTTCTTTTAAGACTCTATAGTTGTGGGTTTAAATGGTATTTTACTAGCGAGGTCTTCCCGTAACATATAATTAACCACTAATATTTTTACATTTCCTGTCAACTTAACATCTTTTAATACAAAAACACGGTGGACCACCGGTGGATGGCCTCAGCACCCCACCCACCAGGCTTAGCAAGTTTTCTGGGGAAAATCCTGAGGATGGAAAGAAAAGTCAGAATAGGGAAGTTTGTGTTAGTATGAAAAGTTCTATTTAAAACCATAAAAATTTCAGACAATTTTTCTTTTAGAGATTTGAATGTCCATATATTTCTGCTCATAGTTGCATGAGAAGCTCTTCTCTCTCACTGCAAAAAAAAGACAGTTATGAATCACTTGAATTATTTTTCTGTTTTTTATACATCAGTTAATCAAGTTTATTTGTGTAGCACATTAAACACAAGGCAGTTCAAAGTGCTTCATCATAAAAACACAAAAATACAAAGTCATAGAACGCACAAACAATTGAAACATTAGATCTTGTCTTGTGGCATTATTGCACATCAGAATGTTTATCAATGTTTCATTTGTAATGTTTCAAAAGCAACTCCTCTAAATAGGTGTGTTTTAAATCTGAATTTAAAGGAACTCAGTGTTTCAGTTGTTTTGCAGTTTTCAGGAACTTTGTTCCAGATTTGTGGTGCATAGAAGCTGAATGCTGCTTCTCCATGTTTGGTTCTGGTTCTGGGGATGCAGAGCCAGAAGACCTGAGGGGTCTGGAAGGTTGATACAACAACAGCAGACCTTTAATGTATTGTGGTGCTAAGCTTTTCAGTGATTTATAAACTAACAGTGTTTTATACATAACTATTTTTGGATGCTCATATTGCCTCAGTCACAATCTTACCTCTCCTATTTGGCCATGCTCTGTTTGATCATAGCCTCAGCCCGGGTTAGTGCTTTATGTTTTCCAGTGCATTTATGGATGCCTACATTTTATCCAAAACTGACTGACTGTAGACGTCTCATATAGTGCACATACTTTATCGCTGAGCTACCTTTTTGAATATTTTTACTGACTTTACTCTAACTGTCCCTGAATACATGCCATTTTCTACTGTCACTGCCTGCTGGTCCAAGAGGAAATTGAACGCTGCAAGTCAATGACTGG